AAAACAAAAGCAAAAACAAACAAACAAACAAAAATACCTAACAATAACAAATGGAATTAAATAAATAAATAATTCTTTTTAAAAAATTAATTCCAAGAGCTGGGGGGAGGAAGACTGACCTTGCTGGAGGTTCTTCTTGAATCTCTTCTAAGGTTGGCAGGTGCTGACCCACAACTCTCCAACTCTTCTTATACATTTGCTAACTGAACATATATTAATGGCTTCTTGTGGTGGGGGTGAAAGAGGAACTTTAGGTAGTGGAGACACAATAGGATTAAATTTAATCCTTGGTTCATGAAAATATCAACTGCTAGAGAAGACAAGGGCCAATGGGATCTCTTATGCATAACTTGTAATTAGCTTGTCAAGGTGAATATTCACATAACTGACAAACCAGAAATTCTTCATGGCATATAACCAAGAGGAACTTTTGCTATGTGTCCACACCAGGAGACGTGCCAGTTGTTCAGAGCAGTGCCTTTTACAACTAAAATCAATAAACAAAAATAGTGGAACTCACCCAAATGGCAACCACAGAGGAACAGACAAATAAATTAGATATATTCACACAAAGAAATACAATCATACGAATACATCAGCAATATTATAAGTAAAATAAAACAGTCCTGGCCAGCTGGTAGCACAGGGATTAAGGCAGCTGCATCCCACTTGGCTGACTGTACGGTATGAGCCTCAGACCTGGCACCACAGTTTGCCTGTGCGTGCATGCCCAAAATCCCGGGAGAAGAATGGAGAAGGAAGTGCGGGGTGGCCATTTCCCCCTGAGAGGTATTTTCTCATTTTCCCTCTCTCTGTCTTTTTCCAGCAAGTGCATGCACCTTACAGAAAATAAAACAAACCCTTATATGATTTTATACTGCATGATACTCATAAACTAAAGACAACTAAAACCAAACCATATATATGTGCAACTGTATAATTTGAAAAATATATGTATTAAATGTGTGTGTGTATTTATATATATTTATTTATATATATATGAAAATATATCATATACATGATAAAACTATACATAAAAAAGACTAAAAAATGATAAACAAATTTGGGAGCAATTCTGATGGGTGGGGAAGAAGCACAGGGTTGACAGAAGTCACTGGCAATGTATTAATTCTTGTATTGAGTGTTGGGTTCACAGATATTATTAACAGTAAACAAGGAAGCAAAGAAATAAATTAAAATGTCTTCTCCAAGGCCAGTTGTAATGGTGTGTCATGAGACTAAGATTATGTTAATTCCAGTTGTGTGTAACTGAGGGTCAAACCAAGCTAAAATAAAAGAAAATCTTGTTAGGCGTTATATGAGTATATAAATTCCGGTGGAAGAGTTAGTATTGCAGCCAATAACGTAGCTTTTAGACTCTAAACTTCATTTGCCTTCTCACTATCTGTAAAAAGTTCTTAATTGAAAGTAATAGTGCAGCCTTCAGTTGTCACACTGTCAAAAAAAAAAAAAAAAAGAAGACATAAAGATATAAATGGGAAGGAAAATGTGTGGTGTGTGAATCATTCTGCATCTACCACAAACTCGCAGTTCAGGCACAGCTGGGTTCCTGAGCATAAACAAGGAAGGAGGTTGTGAGAGCAGAAGAGAGATTGGAGGAGGTTAGACACCTCAGAGAAATAAGACAAATTTCCTGATGCCTGTTCTTGGGTTAAACTTGATACAGGGCCATTTACATTAATGACATGGACAATTATAAAAAGTTTTTGTATTTGTTTGGAAACACTAAAAGTCCACAACATTTCATTGTTTGGATTACAAAATAATTTGTAAATTAAAAGTTTTAGGAGCCAGGCAGTGGTGCAGTGGTAACATAACTGGGCCCACATAGGAAAGGTCCTGGATTGGAGTCCTGGGCCCGCCCTCGGCATGCGGAGTGCGCCTGCACGTCTGTGATCCAGGCAGGCGGAGTGGTTGAGTCTGAGAGGGGAGGAGGATCCCGGTATACAACACCCAGTTGGGAGGCCCTCTCTGTCTTATGAAAGAAATAAATAAACTTGAGGGCTTTATTAACAACGGGTCTAGCCTGTTTGTGTTTAAGAAGTGCTCTGAGGAGATTCTTTGATAACGTAATTGTGTATTTACCCAATTTATCATTCTCTTGTTTCTCCTCTTTCTTTTTCTATCTCCTGGTACTTCCCCTGCACAAGTCATGTGCTTTGACTGCATCAGGGTCCATTGTATGAATGTCCAACTTACTGACTGAAAACAGCATTTGAACATTTCTTTTATGTCATTGTTGAGATTGTTTCCTACCTTTAAGTTTTCTCATTCTTCTCATTCATTCATCTATCAAACACGGAATGTTAGGCATGATTTAGCCACTGGAATACATTACTAAGTTTGAGCTTATGTTCTAGTTGACATATGTGTTTAACAAACATGTGAAAAGCCAAAGCGTGTAATTTCAGCTACTAAGAAATAATATAAAAAACCTTAAAAAGGGAAGGAATGAGACTAAAGGGTTTATAGCCTAGTTGGAGTAGATATTTAACAAATAGATTTTTTTTTTTTTTTGAATGTGTGGGGTTGGCAGATGGGATAGTGGTTACATCGCTGGATTCCCACATGGCCAACCATAGTTCAAGTCCTGGACCCAGTGACTTCAAAATCAGGTCAAGCGTGTGTGTGTGTATGTGTGTGTGTGTGTGTGCAACATCCTAGGAGGAAAATGGAGAAAGGATTATGGCATGGTCATTCCCCGTGAGGGATGATTCTCAAGTTCTCTCTCAACTCTCTTCTTTCTCTGGGGAGTGCATGTGCCCTAAAGCAAAAACCTCAAAAAAAAAAAAAAAAAAAAGTGTGTAATTTCAGGTACTGATATATAATAATAATTTAAGAAAAAAATAATAAAATAGGATGGGGCCAGACCACAAAGAAGAAAGGCTGTGAAGATTTTTGTAAAAAGTTTAGAAGGTGTTAAGCAGAGAGTGATTATGATCAGGCTGTTTCAGAATGGCGATTCTGACTGCTTTGTGGAGAATGGACTGTAATAGATAAGAATTAGAGCAGAGAGGCTACTTAGCAGGCTCTTGCCTCCTAAAAAGATGATTTATTTTAAATATATTTATTATTTTAAATATATTTATTTATATATGTACATATTTAAATATATTTATTTAAAATATAGCGCCACCAAAGCTTACTGATGGAGTAAAAGAAAATGAGGAGTTTACATAAGATTTAAAAAGGAGTCAAATACGATGCTCAGGCATGGGCCTGAACAATAGGGCAGATGGAATTCTTTCACAGAGGCATTTTCGTTGCTTTTTAATGCACACGTAGTAATTTATGTCTTTTATTTTCCAGCACATGTATGAAGTGATCACATGATGAAGAGTCCAAGTGTTATTCAGAGAGAAATCCACAGATGACACCCACATTTCTATGCCTTCCAAAATTATACATTCAATCACATATTTATTATCTCCCCATTAGTTTTCTAAAAGACATCACTCCTGTAAGCTTAGTCCTGGTCTTAGACTAACAGAGTCTCCTAACTGTTCTATTTTGTCATCTTACAATTTTCCCAGTCATTCTCTATGCAATATCCAAGGGGATATTTTAAAAACACAGCTTACTTTCCTGCCTAAAATCTCCCAATGGCTTTCCACTGTGCTCTCAATAAAATTGCATCTCTTTGCCTGGCCCTTTAAGATCCTGCAAGGTCTGGCTACCTCAGCTGCTCCAGCCTCCTCAGCTGCTCCAGCCTCCTCAGCTACTATTCTCTGGCCTCGTTCTGCTCCAGCCTTTCTTTCTCTTCCTTGAACATGTGTAGCTCATTGCTGCTTCAGGGTTTCCCTTGTGATTCCCTCTGCCTGAAATCTTTTTTGCTAGACCTTCACATGGTCGGATCCATCTCACCATTCAGGTCGTTGGTCATTTAACCTCTCCAAAGAGAGGCATTCTCTGACCACACTCTAAAACAGGTTGCCCCCTAAAACTACAGAATTACTCTGCCTGCATTTATCTCGTAGTACTTATCTCCAATAGACGTTATCATATTTTTTCCTCTTCACTGTCTTTATCCTCACCCCTGTACTGCTACTACCTAAAACAATGTTGGCATACAACAAGTGCTCGATAGGAAACAATTGACTAGAAGCCCAGTATGGAGCAATAATAACATATGTCACATCCAGTGACTAACACAGCATGTGACAGCAGTCCTTAGCATTTGGGAACTTAGAACCATAAGTGTTAAAGGAATTGTCACAGCACTTTGGGGGAAAAATAACAAAGAAGGCAGAACAAAAGACAAATTAGCATTTATTATGTAAATACATGTATGGTATAAAATAAACTAATCTACATATAAGGGATCTTCAAAAAGGTCACAGAAAATGTGTATTACGAACAAGCTGTACAAAGACTTCAAATTGATTTTGTTTAAAAGTCCCTTTAATTTCATCTTCCATAATCTTTTTGAAGTTCCCTGTATAGTTTAGGACAGTGTTAGGCCTTTAATAAGACTTTGAGCAAATGAATGAATAAATGAACAACTATGAGTTAAAAGCCTACACATTATTTGACCAAAGGTGAAACAAAATGATTAAACATTAACTAATTTGGATATTTTTATTCTAAAATAGTAATTCTGCTGAGAGGGGAAAAGTTATAGTTTACTGCACATAAACCAGAACTAGCTTTGACACCGTAACTGTGGACACATGTACCCGATGGGAAACCTAAATAATATTATAATAATAAGAAGAAGAACATAAATAAGTAATTTTTAAAATAGTAAACCAAAATGATGAGGGAAAGCAGACAACTTTGTGTTTAATATTATAAAATACTTTTCTTGGCAAAGAAAAAGTTAAAACTAATACCATACTTACACTAGGTATATTTAAGTATCAAAACTTTTTTTTCCACAAGAAAATAAACAATCTGTGTAAGTCACAAACAACAATTAAGGGTTATAATAATTGATATAATATCACTAACATTAGTAACATATCCAGACAGAGTCTTACCAAGCCACCACCAATAACAGCTACTTTCTTTCTTTGACAATCAGATGACTCCATACTGCTGAAGAGCTGCTCACACTTATTCCCTCCCGCTGTCACTTCGAGAACTGTCTCTCCAAGGCACTCATTTCTCTCAGACTTTATACTGCCGGAGCCCAGTGTATTTGTGAGCAAGCACCAATGTTTGGTCAGAGCTAATTTCCCATAATAGCATTTAACCCATTAGTACCCCAAAGTACAATCACTTTAGCCTTAAGAAAAAAAGCAATTCATTGCTATAATCAAATTAAAACACAGCCAAGAGAAGGTAACTCTGTCTGTATGTAAGACAGAATTTTAAATCTGTCTTAGAACTTTTCTTCTGCTTTTTCTGTAGTATATATTCTTAGTTTCATTTTCGTTCATGATTAACCATGAATGGAACCTCCCTCGGATGAAGTTTCAGAATATCTTACACTCTCTCAGAGAGTAAGAAGACATAGTTTCAGGAGTCATTCATGGATAATTCTTGTCATTAAGACCAACCAGGAATTTCGCCTACCATGTCCTCATTGATTGGCTTTAACAGACCACAGGGGAAAATTTTCTGCCAGGTCTTAGTAGTCTCGTAAGCAAGATTTCTAAATTGTGTAACTGACTATAGTCCAGCCTTCCAGCCCGCATCTTAAAATTCTTAGCTTGGATACTAGAAAATTTAAAATCTAATTTGTGCATTACCACTGAGATGGTTAACATTACACTTCCCTAAACTCAATCCTGGCTTCATATTATCTACCTACTTTTTTTGTTTTTCACCCCCGTTTAAAATGTATATTATTTGTTTTTCATACATATTTAGGAATTGCAATTTCTTTCTGAAACACAATGTGGTGTAAAGTAAGAGCATAAATGAAGATGCTTCTTCCCTTCCTAGCAAGAGAGCATGTTTTTCCCCTCTTGATTAAGAACTAGAATTAAACAGCATTCAATAGTGACCCCTTGTGGATATGCATGGGTAGAGTTAGCTACCAGTGAACAGTTTTATTTAGCTAGGTAATACCTTCATATGGGAGGAAATCAAAATTCAGAAATAGAAGTGCACAGTAAATAGTAATTCTTCTATTCTGTCCCTTGGCCACCTATCTATCCTGTCCAGAGGCAAACCACTGCATTACCCAATTCTGCAAGCTTATCATCTCAGTCCCTCCCTTCCTTCCTTTTTTCCTTTTTTTCCCCTCCCCCAAACCTCTCTTCCTCCCTGTCTTTCACTTTCACTTCCTCTCCTTCCTTCTCATCCTTCTTTTCTTTATAGACAAAGATGGTAGGAAATTTTTCACTCCTCCACACTCATTTTTCTCCACTTACCAAACAATGGCATGAGAATTCTTCCATCAATATTTAGAGAACTGTATCAATTTTAAAGCATTTTAAACGTAGGGTCAACAACACAAAGAAAGTGAAATACACAACAATAGCACAAATGTACAATATAGTAACTCACAGCCAAGCGAGCACTCATGTAACTACCACTTGGTCCAGAAAGAGCATCACCAGAATAACAGCTGTCTATGTGTTCTTTGCCATCACCCATCCTTCATAAAGGTAACTATTACTCTGCCATTATCACTTCCCTGCTTTTATTTATAATTGTCCCACCACACATACACCCCTAAGATAGTTTTGTTTTGCCTTTTTTGGGGGGCAGAGAGGTTCTTGCTATAGGGTGCGTGCGCTTGCCAGAAAGCCAGAGAGAGACAGAGAGACAGAAAGCGAGAAAATCACCCCCCCAGGGAGGATGGCCACGTTGCAATCCCTTCTCCTCCATTCTCCTCTCAGGATCTTGGGCACACACGCACATGTGCCCGGCATGAGTTTAAGCCACCAGGTCCAGACTCGAACCGCAGTTGACTACATAGGTGTCCAGCAACATAGCTATTATGCTCACTGCTGGTCCCATGTTTTGCCTTTTTTAAAACTTCATTATAAATGAACTCACAGCAGGTTATTTATTTATTTATTTACTTATTTGCAACTTGCTTCTTTTTCATAGTGTGCTTGTCAGAATACATATAGCGATTTAATGTATGGAGAATAATAAAAATATATAAATAAATAAAATAATAATAAAAGAAAAAAGAATACTTCTGTATTTTGTTGTTGCATGTATATCTAATCCATTCATTTTCATTGTCATATATTATTTATTCATTCTACTATTGATAGTCATTTGGATGTTTCCAATTTTTAATATGGAAAATAATGCTCGGGAACCCACAGTTAGCGTAATGGCTATGTCGCTGGACACCCACATGGTCGACCGTGGTTCGCATCCCGGACCCGGTGGCTTAAAACTCACGCCAGTCACGTGCCCAAGATCCTGAGGAATGGAGGAGAAGGGATTGCGGTGTGGCCATCCCCCCTGGGGGGTGATTTCTCGCTTTCTGTCTCTATGTCTCTCTCTGTCTGTCTGGCGAGCGCATGCGCCCTATAGTGAAAATCATGCTGCTATTATAAATATTCTTGCATTTACAATACAGCACAGCTAGGTATGAATATCTCTAGAATGTATATGCCAGTTGTGCATATTTTAAATTTCCCTAAATAAACCAGTTACCTTTTATAGATTTTTTTTTTTCTTGGAGAGGTTTTTGTTACAGGGGTGTGTGCACTTGCCTGAAAGACAGAGAGAGACGGAAAGACAGAAAGTGAAAAATCATCTGCCCGGGAGGATGGCCATATCGCAATCCCTTCTCAATTCTCCTCAGGATCTTGGGCATGTTCGCATGCACGGCTGGCATGAGTTTAAGCCACCGGGTCCAGGACTTGAACCGCGGTCAACTATGTGGGAGTCCAGCAACATAGCCATTACACCAACTGCTGGTTCCACCTTTTATAGACTTTTACTTGACACAGGGTATAGAAATTTGTCTTCTGCTCCATTTTCCCAGTGTATATTGCTGAAAGTTTTAGTTTGTTGACAGTTTGTACTTTTCATCTGCAGTCCTTTGATTATTAACAAAGCTAAGCACTGTTTACTTGTTTATATATACTTTTTATTTATTTTGTATAAATACTGCTCAGTTTTTGAGGTGTTATCTTTTTTTTTTCCACTGTCATTTGATATGAGCTTTATTATTTATATATGTTGCAAATAACTGCTTCTATCATGTGGTATGCCTTTCTTCTTTCTTTTATTTTGGGGGAGAGATTTTCGCTATAGGGCGTGTGTGCTCACCAGACAGACAGAGACATACAGACAGAAAGCAAGAAATCGCCCCCCCCGGGGGGGGTGGTCACGCTGCAATCCCTTCTCCTCCATTCTCCTCTCGGGATTTTGGGCACGCACGCACACGCACCCGGCGTGAGTTTTAAGCCACCAGGTCCGGGATGCGAACCACAGTCGACTACGTGGGAGTCCAGCTACATAGCCATTATGCTCACTGCTGGTTCCTGCCTTTCTTCTTTCTTAGTGGTTACTTTCAGTAAGTATTCTTTTTTATTTTGGAGAGGTTTTTGCTATAGGGTGCATGCACTCACCAGAAAGACAGCGAGATAGAGAGATAGAAAGTGAGAAATCACTCCCCAAGGGGGAATGACCACACTGCAATCCCTTCTCCTCCATTCTCCTCTCGGGATTTTGGGCACGCACGCACACGCACCCGGCGTGAGTTTTAAGCCACCAGGTCTGGGACTCGAACCGTGGTCGACTGCATGGGAATCTAGTGAACGCTTCATTACGCTAACTGTTGATCTCGCCCATTTGTTTGTTATCTCTAAAGTATCATCAAGTTTTATTCTTTTCTCTGTAGAGGTTTTGGCCACTTTCGTTAGATATATGTATAGGTAATTGTTATTTTCTATTTTGTTGTAAATGATATATTTTATTTTCTGCTGTTGATATGTAGAAAAGCACTTAGTTTTGTTTACTGAGCTTGTATTGCAAAACTATTAGGTTGTTAGGAAAGTCAGATGTATTTTTCTACGTTTTTCTATGTAAAAACGCTTCATGACTTTCTTGATGACCCAATATTTTATTAATTCTAACCTTTTCTCTGTAGTATTTTGGATTTTTTTTTCACCACAATCTTAATGATGTTTTGTTCTTTTCCTTCCTATTAGTTCATTGAATGATTGCTTTACTGTGCTGACTAGTCCCCTCAGAACAGTGTGGAATAAAGTGTATTGTTTAAGTTACAAATACATTGGATTTCCTATTAATAGTTATCTTGTTGTTACTGATCTCATTGTGGCCAGATAATATGGTTTATAGGTTTTCAAACCAGTTGAGACTTATTTTATGGCCAGCAAAAGGTCGATTTGTGTGCATGCTTTTACAGGTGCTCGAAAAGTAAGTAATCTTTATTTATTGTGTGCATTTTTCTATAGTCATTAGGTCAAATCTATTGATTATTTGTTTAAAACTTTTGTGTTCTTCCTAACTTTTGGTCTGCTTGTTTTGTTTATCACTACCAGATATATATTTTTAAATATCATACTATGATTGATATTTGTCTATTTCTTCAGAGTGCTCTACATTGAGTAATCCACACTTGAAGTTGCTGTATGTTATTGGTGAAAAAAAGCTTTTCTCACTATAAAGTATCTTTCTTTATCTTAAGGAATGATTTTTTTGCCCTCTGGTTTAAGTGTTTGATATTTATATTAGCTTTTGCACTTGGTTAACGTTTACATAGTATGTATTTTTCAACCTTTTGATTTCAATGATTGTATCTTTATGTTTTAAATGTGACCTTCATAAGCAGCAAGCAGTTAAATACTTTTAAAATTCAGTCTCTAGTCTTAATCTTTTATCTTAAGTCTTTAGTTTTGTGTAGTTTCACTAATATGTATCTAGGTAAAGATTTTTTTTTTCTTTTATTACAGATCTAAAAGGAAACACTGGGTTTCTTAAATATGAATTGATTCCTTTCATCACCTTTAGTATGTGTTCAGCTATACATCTCGAAATATTGTTTAGTCTTCCATGTCTTTTATCCTTGCCTCATTATTTTTATACTTCATCCTTATGTGCTTTATTATATTATATTTAGTTTAATATATTAGTCAATTTACTAGCTCTGTTTTCTGTTGTGTTTAACCAGCTGACGAACTCATCCAGTGTGTTCTAGATTTTGATTACGGTAATTTTTATTTCTGGATATGATTCTTTTTCATATATACTAAATTTTTTTGGAATTAAAATGTAATTTTTATTTATTACCTCTTTTTATATTACATTTAATCACATATATCTTTACAGTGTATTACATTTCTTTATCCAACATGATTACCATGTATATAAGTCAAGATGACATTTATCAGCAGCATCATCAGCAAATAGCTTTTCATCATTTTTTA